AAATGTGGATAAGGACTCCATGAGTTTGATGTAAGGATTAAATAAGGGAACAGAGTTTAAAAGAATTTGTAAATGGTGAACATTATGTTTGTATGTATTATCTTAGTGGCTTGGTGGATTAAGTAGAATCAGCACACTCAGACCTGAAGCTGAGGGAAATCAACAGCTAATAGAAGACAAGTTTTGTTTTAAAGCAGAAACCATAAAACATCATAAAACAGATGGTTTAAAATATAAGAACAGTTAACTTTTACAGTATAAAAAGTATAATTCTAAAAAAACAAAACCCCAAAACTTTAGTTCCACAAAACAAAAAAGAACAAGTAGAAGCATTATGTAGATAGAAAAATGTATATATCTTTTCACGAAAAGAAAAGCAAACATTTATAAACTAGAGAGAAGGGGCAGGTTCTTAAGTGTAGCTGAACCACTGCTTAGCACAAGTCAACAGACCTCAGATTAAAGCCTCTTCTCACTGCCTTAGGAAGTGGTTATTTACATAAGGAGTGAGACTCCCTCAGCTAATTTTTGTTTTCTTTTCACCCTTTTAGAGATTCTAATCAATGGAAAGACCACAGAAATCAAAATAAGAAAGTAAATTCTCTAGATTTCGGTGACAGGAATGGGAGCATTACTCTGGCCAATGCAATGAAGAAAAGCTACCCACGAAGTTCTTGAAACAACAGTCATAAAATTAAATTTGAATCACAGTTAAAACTACACTACAGCAAACAAACAAAAATAAGATTAAAATAATAAGGTGTTCATACTGGTTGAAAACAACACTGAGGAAGTGTTTTTGGTTTTGTTGCTATAGACGTTTGGCCAAAACAAAGCTCACCGGAATAGTAGTTACCCTGACCCTGTGGAATCAGTTTCCCTATGGAAACTGAAGTGGATATTTAAGATGACTGATGGAAAGCAATTAAAAAACCCTGCTCTAACCAAAGTACTCCTGGCAGTTTTAAATACAGAAAGATGAAAGATAAGAATATTGATTTTAAAAGTGCCATCCATTACTCTAGAACCGCAAGTCTTCTCGACGCCTGAAGTCTATGAAAAACGCTTCTCGACAACAGAAAGCTAGGAAAAGGCTTCTAAGGATGCTCCGCGCAGGCGCGTGGACGCGATGTCACCGCCCGAGTCCCCGCTGACCAGGCTCCTCTGCCCCGGGGACCAGGGCTCACCCAGCGTTAGAGGGAAGGACCTGGCTTTATCTCCAGGCCTCAGGTCCGCTGCTGCTCGTTCCGAGGCCCCTCCCGGAGCGCGGCGGGGAGACCGCGGAGGGCCCACTCCCCTCCTACCTGCAGCACGAAGGCGCTCGGCCAGACGGTGAAGCCGCACTCGGCGGCCGGGCCACGGGACAGCCTCACGGCGGTCGCCTCCTCGTTGGGGTTGTCCACGGCCAGGGGCAGCGTCCGCGAGGCTCCCAGGCGCACGTCCCCGAAGCAGAGGAAGGGCGACCTGCAGAAGTGGCTGAGGGACAGGACCGGCGGGGAGGCCGCCTCCTCCTCGGCCCGGGAGCCCCGCGGCCTCGGTTCCGGGGGGCTCCGCTCCCAGCGGTCGCGCCCCCAACGCCTGGTCGCCATGGCGGCCTCTGGGCCCAACGGGCTGCTCCGAGCCGCCGTGCAGGAACGCCCACCGTGTCCTCTCGGGAAGCTGGGGGAATTGGAGCGAATTCGCCCCCTTTCTCATGCGATCGCCGAGACCCGGTAAATAAGCCAGACACACAGACTCGCAAACTGGAAACAGAAGCAAACAGCGCAGGTTGTTTGCTCTGTTTAAACTTCCCGCCGCCACCAATGGGGGCGCCCGGGCCCGCCCACCTCCCCGCGGGGCCAATCATCGGGCAGCAGTCCCGGCCAATGAGAAGAGGGCGCCTTATTTAAACGTGATGACGGCGGCGCCTGGCTCTGCGCGCGGAGGCGACAGTGGCTTCGAGGTCTCGCTGGCCCCTGAGGCCCGGGGCTCAGACTCGGAATTCGCCTTTCGGTTTTGTGAACAGGCTGCTTGAAAGAAAGAGAGTCACAGCACTTCCACCGTAAATGCAGCAGTCACTGCCTTGCTGGGACAGTCATTTCCCTCCCCCAGTATACCCGCCCAGGGTTACGACCCTGAGCTCCCCGCATAGGCTTCCTGGGCCCAAATGGGAGAAAATGAGGAAAATTAAATGTATAGTTAGTGTGAACATGCTGATGTCAGTGCCTGACCCCAGCAGGGGCTCAGTGATACTGGGAGCAAAACTAGGTAAACAAACAAAACCTGAGATTCCCAGAAATTCATAAGCGATGGTCTTGACTGGCATTGCCCTTGACAAATAACTTCTCGGTTTTAATTTTAATTGTAGACATCTGATAATAATGGTTATCGCTTACATGTTACTCTTTGCCAGGCATTGTTTTAAGCCCTGCACATATTTATCTCAACCTTCACTTCAACCCTGTGAGGGAGGTGCCATGATTCGTGCTTCACAGACGAGCGAGGCCGGCGTCCAGCCAGCCAGGAACTGGCAAATCCAGGAGACGGACACAGGCAGCTCGGCTGGTCTTGCTGTCACTCCTGCACCTACTGCCTCTAAAGACAGGAGACTTTAAAAAATAACGTGTGAATGTGTGTACGCGTGCACGAAATATATCAGGAGGAGACTTTAAAAAATAAATTGTGGATGTGTTTACGCGTGCATGAAATATGTCAAAAGAAAACTCCCTGGGTGGAAAACCAAAATGAGGAAGGTGGGATCTGAAATTATATATTCACTGACACCCATTTTGACCTGATGTTGAACCCGGTTATCTTAACGATACTGAATCAAAAGTGTTCATGGAGGTTTCTTAAAATCCTAATTTAGGATTGATGCACAATGAGACCACTACTCCATAACTTTTTAGCAAAATGCTAATGTGAACGACAATAACCTTCATATACATTTAATTTATATTTATTAGTTCATACTCAAATTAACATTACACATATAAGCCCTTAAGCTTAAGTCACTGAAATGTTTGTTTCAACCCTTTTTAACATGATAGTAACACATCTTGTTTATCTATGCTCTCCCCTCACAGCTTCTCTTCATAAAGCAAAGCTGTTGACGCACAGTTTTAGAAAATCCAGAATGAACTGTATGGATTATTTTTTATTTGCCCTCCACTTCCATCCTCCACCCTTTTCCAGCCTGCTCTTTGCTGTGGGATGCTGGCCTGTGTTCTGTATTTGCTACATCCATAGTTTTTTACTCTGTAGCTTCTGTGTTACTGAAAGAGAGAGGTAAGGGTACTTCTCCCATTCCTGCCCCCCTTGGGCTGGCTCCGTCTCAACATTAAAATCACAAGTAGCTGGAGAGATGCCCTCTCCTCATGGGTCTCTGGGGATCTGGGTGTGGGGATACCATGGTGTTACTAGTCCCAGGATATGGCACTATTGCTTGTTTCCCTGCATCCCTGTCACATCTTTGCAAACGGTCCCTTTATTAAACTTCCTTGGATTCCACTAAATTGGAGAGGGCCAACTATTTCCTTAGTGTCCCTGGCTGATGCAATAGTGGCCTTAGGAAATTGCCTCTTAAGATCGAATTCTGAATTGAGTTGCTCCTATCTGAGGAGCACAGGGATAAACTCCTGCTAGCGAGAAATATCATGATAATCCACGGGATGCGGTAGCATCCTGAGTCCTCAAATCATCTATCTGTGGCGGCAGCATGAGATGAAGTGCATACGAAGGGCAATTTATTCAAAGATCAGGTGGCCGGGGCACACAGTGTCTATGCCAACACTTTATAAATGATTATAAAGCTTAGAGTGTCACCTGGTTTCACCTGACCACCCTGGAGAGCATACATAGGGAAAAAGAAAATGAAACTCTGTGAACATCCAAGGGTACCACTAAGAACATATCTTGAGAACAAGAATGTGTGGACGGAAGTCCTGAAGAAGCCCCTCACTTCCTGTGGTCTCAGGGAACACATGGCCGAGGACTAATCCCGAGGCTGCTGGTAAATGTGGCAGCACTGATGAAATGCTCGACCCTACCAGCCCTCCTAGCTAAGGGGAGGGAGGGGGACCCTGGGAAGGAGTATGGTATTTGGGCAAAATTCTAAAGGCTGAGAGCTTATAATTCTCCCTATTCCCACAAACCTCCCTCACCAGCAGAGGCAGTCCCTCCACCGGTTCGTTATATTGATGACATTTGCTAATTAAATCTGATGAGCAAGAAACAGGTGTCAGGAGCTGGGAGGGTCTGAGACTTACCCCGCTGAAGCTTTACTGGAACACAGAGACACCCATTCCTTTACATGTTATCTACGGCCGCTTTCACACTACAAAGGCGGAGTAGAATAGTTCCAGGAGAAATCATATTGCCTGCAAAGCCTGTACTAGTTAGTATCTGGCCCTTTACAAAGAAGTTTGCTGACCTGGGATCTAATCCAAGGAACCAAACAACTGGATGTGACAAGCAACATTCCATTATCAAGTCAAAGTGGTGAACACCAGCCCAGGGCTGAGCAGGCCCCAAGTTCACAAGCTGCACAGACGACTCGGGTCCTGTAATATCTCCTCCTCCTACACTGTCGCTCTCAGTCTGTACTTGGGGAAATCGGGGATCTCCTTGACCATTTCATAAAGGAAGACAAAGCCTGGTTTATGGACGGATGTGTATGGTAGGCCAGATGTGAGCAGAGCTGCGCTATAGCCTCCCCTCAGGGTAGATGAGAACACTCAGGGAGCAGAATTTTGGATGGTACATCTAGTCCACTTCAAAGGGGAGAAGACACGTCTCTGCTCTCTGCTGACTCAAGGGCACAGTCAACAGGTTGGGCAGCGGGTCAAGGGTTTGGAAAAAGCAAAATGAAAACTTGGTGACAAGTTAAGTCTGGGGAGGAGAGGTTTGTAAAAGGACATCTCAAGATAGGGACAGGGGGACTTCCCTGGTGGCGCAATGGTTAGAAATCTGCCTGCCATTGCAGCGGACATGGGTTTGAGCCCTAGTCGGGGAAGATCCCACATGCTGCGGAGCAACTAAATCCGTGCACTACAACTGCTGAGCCTGTGCTCTGGAGCCCGTGAGCCACAACTACTGAGCCCATGTGCCACAACTACTGAAGCCTGCACGCCTAGAGCCCGTGCTCCGCAACAAGAGAAGCCACCGCAGTAAGAAGCCCACGCACCACAACAAAGACCCAACGCACCCAAAAATAAATTAATTAATTTAAAAGAAAAATAGGGACAGGAAGTTAAGAAATTTGTGTCCCTAGTAAATGCCATCAGAGAATATCCAAGGTAAAGGAAGAGCTCAAAAATCAGGCAAACAAGACAACCTGTCCTGCTTAGGTGTCAGAACCTCTTTCCTCAGAGACCCCATTCTTCCTTGGTGAACCCATGTATACGCTGGCCATGGCCGCAGATATGGGGGCTATGAAAGAGCTTAAACAGTCTCCCTCTTTCCAAGGCTGATTGGATGTGCCACCGCTGAGAGCCTGACCTGTGAACAGAGGCCAAGCAGAACCCCCAGTGTGACTCTACTCCCCAGGGACCAACCAGTTACCTGTGGCATGTGGGTTACATTAAACCCTTTCTACCACAGAAGAGGTGGTATTTTCCTCTCTGGAGTAGATGCATTTTCTGAGTATAGATTGCTGTACCTGCCCCCACTATCCATGCACAGACGTACAGAATGCTTTCTCTAGAACCAATGAATCTGTGGAGGTTTTCAAAGTGTGTCTAAAAATTTTTGGTCACTTCTCCCTTCAAGAGGGGAATCTTAATTTGTGTCCCTTGAGTGGTGTGGACTTAGGGGCTCACAGTGGCAGATGTGATGTGCTATCACTTCCTAGATTAGGTTATAAAAGACTGCAACTTAAATCCTGCCTGTGTTCTCTTTCATTTTTTCAGCTGGGGGCAGCCAGCTGTGTATCTATCACCAGGCAGCCCTGTAGAGAGAGGCTGTGTTGGGAGGAACTATGGCCAGAAGTGGGCTTGGAGGTGAAGCCTGCTCCAGGATGGCCTCTAGAGACTGCAGCTCCCATGAAGTTTGACTTCAACC